GGGGGCCACTCCACAGGGGGAGCTCGTCGCTCGCTCGTCCTCGTCCCCGGCGAGTGAGCCGACGATGGCGGCCCTGGCAGGGCCGCCTCGGCAGGCTGCGGCGCCTCGAGAGCCACGCCGCGAGGAGGGCCTCACCCACCTGCCGCTCCAGGAGGGGGAGAGGGGGGAGGCGTGGCCCCCGCTCGGAGCCACCTGGCCGCACCACACAGTCGGCCCCGACGAGCAGGTCGACCCTGCCAGATCAAGGGTGCCCTCGTGTCCTGTGCCTCGCGACCCGTGCTTCCTGCATTCCTGTGGCAGTGTGGTCCTCGGAAGGGTCCTGCGTCCTCTCGCGTGCCCTCTCCCAAAAAAAAAACGTGCGCGGCCCGCTTAGCTTCGACCGGAAGAGGTGCGCTCTCGACCCGCGGATCAAAAAAGTGTCCTCTCCAATCGAGTCCGACTGTACGTGGAGACGCAAGCACGGAGTAGGGCAGCAGCCAGCATCGCGGAATCGGAGCGGGTGATCATGCAGCAGGTCATCGATGACCACGGGCGGTCGAGAATTCCGTGGTGGACACCGTTGCGAACTTGCGACAAAACCTTCCACCTCCTCCTCCTCCTCTTTCTTCTCCTCCTCCTCCTCCTCCTCCTCCTCCCCCTCCTCCTCCTCCTCCTCCTCCTCCCCCTCCTCCTCCTCCTCCTCCTCCTCCTCCTCCTCCTCCTCCTCCTCCTCCTCCTCCTCCTCCTCCTCCTCCCGAACACCGTCAGCGACGGCGTCACTGGATGGCTTCTGAGCGCCGCGGGGCGGCATCCTGCAATCCAGGCGCGCGCGCAAGAGCGCCAGCGGACGCACGAGAGAAGGAGCGCAGATCCGGGCGCGCGGACTGGCCACGCACCCCGCCCGCGCGCCAGAGCGGGCGCTCGCCGCCGCGCCGCATCGAGCAGCATGGGCCTCCTGCTGCGGGGGGGGGGGGGGGGGGGGGGGGGACCGCTCCCCGCTCCCCCGCGCCCGCGCGCCGGATCCGTCCGCGGAGTGGTGCTCCGTGCCAGGGAGTGCCCGGACTCTGCGCCCCCTCCTCGCGGCGAGCCTCCCGCCAGTCCTGCCTTATGGGGGGCCCGCTCGGTCCACCTCCGTGGCTCCAGGCCGCCGCTCCCCCACCGCATCCCCGCCTTCCCTCGCACTATTGCCTCGGCATCGCTCGGACGTGTGCCTTTTTCCTCCGGCGAGGACCCTCGAGGAGCATCCTTGATCATTTGGCGCAGAAGCCACGCACGAAACCGAAAAAAACACAGGAATGGACGTCCGAGCGATGGCCAGGGGAGGAGGAGGCGGAGGAGGAGGAGGAGGAGGAAGAGGAGGAGGAGGAGGAGGATGAGGAGGAGGAGGAGGGGGAGGAGGAGAGGGAGGAGGAGGGGGAGGAGGAGGAGGAGGAGGAGGAGGAGGAGGAGGAGGAGGAGGAGGAGGAGGAGGAGGAGGAGGAGTTGCAGCTTTTTCTGCTTACCCTGCCTATGAGCGTGTGCCCCTCCCTCGCAGCGTCGACCAGGGAGGGCGGCGTGCGAGGGCGCGGGTCCCCTGACGGACCTGCTCGCAGCTGCAGGGGATCCAGGGAGGCGATGGAGATAGACCTGCGCAACTCCAAGTGCACCAAGTGCAGTCGGACCGAGGTATAAGGTCGAGGTTTCGGGGAGGAGACCCTCATATTCTTCGTGCTTGTTGGATGTCCGTCTGCATCCTGGGGAGGACACCCCTGGATATTCTGTGTGGTTTGGCCGACGGATGGTCTCATGTTCTTGAAGGATGTTATTCTGTCCTAGATCCGACTGTAGGGACAGTCTTGTGTTGAGGGATGAAGGTGAGATGCAGCGCAGTGAGGTGCCAACGAACGAGGCGCAATGCAACGTGATTCGCTACAGCGAATGTCGTGGCACAGCGTGGTGCCCCATGGCAGAGCAAACATGTGTGCATGGCAGAAGGACGTATCCTAGCATTACGCAGCATTCCGTTGCATTGCACCATGTAGGTTCGGATGCCATTGCATTGCATCGAATTGCATGGCCTCGCAGAGCATTGCACGGAATAGCATTGTACAGTATGGCGCAACAGGGTATCCCATGGCACAGGTTGGCGCAGGTTGGCGCAGGTTGGACAGGCAGGGTGCATCATAGCATAACGTGCCGTAGCATCGCATACAAAAGCACGTCATAGCTAGCTTGGCGTAGCACGAGCAATATTTGCGCGAAACATTGCGCATGGACCAAGACACTGAGGCCTGCTCGCAGTTGACAGAGATCGTGTGTTTGTCGCGGTGGGCCTGGTGGTGCTAAATTGTGTGTGGCTGTGGTCGTTGGGTCAGTGTTCCCGTAAGGATGGGGTCTGCCCCGAATATCCTGGCAGCGAGCTTTCACATTTTCTCGCACAAGGTGCTAAATCCTGCCACCCGCGTGTTATAACTAGTTTTTGGTAATGCGAAATTGCAGAGTGAGTATCAGTTTCGCGATTTGGCATGTTGCGGAAGTATCGGGTTCAGGTAGTCATCGTCTTCATCGCAGCCAGCCGCAAGTCAACGCTCTTGTCGTTGCATAGCCATGCGGATCTCATGTTTTCTGCATGTGCGCGTTGTGGCTAGAAGCGTTCCGCGTTTGGTGGTTTGATTGGTTCAACTCTTTATTGGGGTGATCCCCCCACGATCTGCTAGTTCAAGAATCCATTATTGCACATGCTTCGCGGGCTGCAGAACTAGCCGGAGGAGGCAAAGCCGTTGATAGACCGACGCAGCCGTGAGAGCCATCGTTACCAGCGCTGTTGCTCCTCATGCCGTGCCCCGCGTGCAGTGCGGAACCATTTTGGTTGAGGTGTTTCAGGGTTGCAAGGTTGCTTACTCCAGGTTTCTTCGTAGGCGTGGGGGTCTTGGCATCGCTCGGACGTGTGCGTTTTTCCCTCGGCGAGGACCCTCGGGGAGCATCCTGGATGATTTGGCGAAAAAACCACGCACGAAACCAACAAAAAAAAACACATGGAATGGACGTCCGAGCGATGGCCAGGGGAGGAGGAGGCGGAGGAGGAGGAGGAGGAGGAGGAGGAGAAGGAGGAGGAGGAGGAGGAGGAGGAAGAGGTGGAGGAGGGGGAGGAGGAGGAGGAGGAGGTGGAGGAGGGGGAGGAGGGGGAGGAAGAGGTGGAGGCCCCGCCGTTGGGGGGGTCCACCTCGCTTCCCGTCGTCGCGCTGCGACGGGGGGTCGGCGCGCGGCGGCCGTGCCCGCGACGGGGGGTCGACGTGGGGCCGTCGGCGGGGGTGCCGCCCCGCTCCCGACGCCTATACTGCAGCCGGGGCCCGGAAGAGGGAGCCCTTTCCGTTTGGGGAGGCGCTCTTCCACTTCCCTTCGCGGCTGCTCCTCTCCTCCACATACTCCTTCCTCGTTTAGTCCACAACTTTCTCTGCTCTCTCTCTCTCTCTCTCCACATGTTCCAAATTGTGCTTGCACTTAGGGGTCTTTAATTATCTTCGAATGGGCTGCCCCTGAATGTCGGTCCGGCGGCTCCGTTGGCTCGGTGTGCCTTGACTGTTTCCAAGTTTGCCTCGGGTTTTCCGAAGGTTTTCCATGGGGGATGGAGGTTGACTTCTGAAAAAACAGCGGCCTCGTTCCGTTTTGACTCCCGACGCTTACTACAGCCGGGGCCCTGAAGAGGGAACCCCTTCCGTTGGGGAGGGCGCTCGGTGTTCCTTGACTGCTTCAAAGTTTGCCTCGGGTTTTCCGAGGGTTTTCCATGGGGGATGGAGGTTTACGTATGGAAAAAAATCGGCCTCGTTCCGTTTTGATCGTTCCTCAGGTCAGCGCCCCCACTGCATCGAGGGCATAAAAAAACACCCCTACCCTGGTTTACGAGGCGCTGTGCGCTGAAACCCCTGTGGGCTAGCAGGGTAAACCCTGCGTGATGTGCCGCGTCCTGGCGGCTCTAGGCTTCGTGGGTTCCCAGGAGGTTTACATACCGCGCACTTGTGACCCAGGGTAGGGTCGATTTTCCATCCCTCAATGTCAAGAACTTCGGAGTCGTCTGATTGCAGTGCCAGCCGATCCCCATCGCCGCCAAAGTTACCACATTGTCTCTTTTGGTCGGCTCGGCCAACTGGCGCCGGCGGTGAACCGTCAACCTGGTCACCGCCGGGAACCTCGTAGAGCTCTATGCACGCGTAAGAGTGCTTAGATTCAAAGCATTTCTCGAAGAACGTAGAATTTTCATTTTTGCTTGCATCGTGAAGGTTGCAGGGCTCCTGACGTCAGCGGCTGCTGGTGCCGCAGGGCACGGGGCGACGGCATCACCGCCGACCAAGGGGTGCGGCGGGTCGCTTCCTTCCGGCATCTGCCGGAGGGATGTCCGCGCCGAGCTGTTGCAGTGGCGGAAGCAGCCGCGACGCGTGGCGTAGAGCTTCTTGATTTTCTCCTCGCTCGCGTGGTAGCCGAATATTGCACGCTCCTCGAACTCCTCGCCGTAGGATGGGTCGCCGTTGTAGTGTACCACGCCCTCCTTGTCAACGAAGAGGGGGCCGTCATTGAACTGCTGCTGCTGCTGCTGCTGCCTGGACGTCATCTTGATGACTGTGATGCTACTGAGCGCGGACAGCGGTACCTGTAGCGTTCGCTCCGATGCGCGATCGGATGCCCATTCTGCGCAAGAATCGATTCGCATACGGCCTTGAGTCTGTGCAACTCTACGGCTTGTGCCACTCTGCCGAAGTACGCTTGGACACTGAATCGCGGAGCGGTTGCCCGTTCGGCCAATGACTCCTACCGGTTCAACTCGTGGCGTTCGCCAGGCGTTACCCTTGTGGCTGGCGCGTGTGGCAGGGCAGGCGGCACGGTGCCGGCACACGCGGGCCCTGGCGTCGCCTTCTTCGCGAAGACTAAATTCGCAAAGCAAGGCGATTTAGGCAGCAAAGTGCTCAAACCCGCGCCCTTGGGGACCGTGAGGGCCGTGTGGGCCAGAGGGGCAGTGGTGGAAGTATCGTGAGGCGTCCGCTTCAACCATGGAGGAGGCTATCAGTATCGCCTTCATTCCTGCGAGCGAATCACTGACGGAGGAACGCTTCATGAAGAGGCCGCTGGAGCTCGTGAGGGGAGGGCAGGCACTGCAGTGGAACAGCGGCACGCCTCTTCCGATCAGAGGCACGCTTGCTGATCGAGACACCTTACCGTCGGGATCAACTTGGAAGATGGAGCCCAATCCCTCGGATCGACCTCGGCTCCAAGAGTTCGGGGCAGCCAAGAGGTCTCACCGGCTGCAACGTGGTACATGGTGCGCCGCGCCCACCGGCCCTGCGTGCCGGCAGCTCGACCCTCCGTGCCCTCAGGACAGTGGCTGGCACGCGCGGCCGCCAGCAAGTGCATCCGTGGACGCCGAGGGTGATTACTTAGGGGACTGGACAGGTGGTGTGATTGTCGACAGGGTCCTTCGGCCGCGCGCAGAGGCGGGTGGGGGGGAGGGGGGAGGGCTTCTTAGAAGCACCCCTGCTTCTTAGAAGGCGCGTGCCTTACCTGTAGATGTAAGCCCGGCGCCTTCTAAGAAGCAGCCTCCTTCGAAGAAGCCCTCCCCCCTCCCTCCACCCCCTTGTGCGCGCCGCCAAGTCCTCGTCCCTGCAGACATCACTCCTTGGCGATTACATTCTCGGATGGCGGTGGGACTGTGAAGAGACCTGCCAGGTCTGGGCCTTTTTGCACCGACATTGCCTTCCAGCTGGGTCCTTTGTTCTCGTTTAGGGAGTCGCTTGGCATGTCCAGCGCGGACGGATCAACCGGAGCACGGCCAGAACAGCGCCCGGGAGGGGGGGCGGTGCCCGGGCTTTGTTGTGGAAAACAAAGGGTTAGCTCTTGGAGGGGCTCGATGTATACACCGCGTCGTTTCGCCGTCCAAGGAGACAAGTAGCTCGGCGAGGGAATTCTGTGCATAGACGCTCCAGCGTCCCAGAAATCGGTACGACTTGGTGTATATATTGACGCGCCGAAAAACCGACAGAACCCCACCTACGGCCCTTCATGTTGCACTACGGGTCATCGGTCGTTGGTCTTCTGGTCCACTTGAGCCCTTCCCAGGCCTGTCACGACACCTTGCCCCGAGCGCAGTAGGCATGCGAGGTGCTGGATACGCACAAGGACTGTTCACATGGGCGCGCACCTTCGAGCACACACGTGCGAGCACATATCGTTAAGCCGCTAAAATGCCAGCGTTGTCACGCGCAGAGGGGGAGCACTGGGATGGGAAAGGCTTCTTAGAAGCACCCCTGCTTCTTCGAAGCCTTCTCCCCTCCCGCTACCCCCACCCCCCCCTGCGCGCCGCCAAGTCTTTCTTCTGCTCTGCAGGAGACTGGAGTCGCGCCCACTGATGACGGCTTCACAGTGCTGCAACGACACCCCAAGGCAGACGAAGTCGAGGATGGGCGGGTTGAGCACCTTGCGCAGCGTTGCGATCGAGAGAGGCATACGTGTATCACAGATGGGGACGTTCGGCAGTCACGTTGTAAATGTCAGCATCGCCCGTCAAATCTGCAATAATTCGACGCGGAGATCCGCATCGAATACGTTTCGTTTCTGAGTGTCGAGAGAACCGTGATTGTGCATATAAGAGTATTTGGATACGAGTGGCATGGCATGAGGGTCTGGATGGGACCGAATCGTGCACAAGCGGAGGCATATGAGTCTGGGTCTGAGCGTCTGCGGATATGAGAGAGTCTGGGTGGGAGTGGGCCCTTCGCGTGAGCAGGTCTGAATATGAGTGGTTAGTATCGAGTAGATTTAAGAAACAACTCTACATGCGTAGGTCCTGGGTATGAGAGGGTAAAGGAAAGAACGGGGTATGTCTGTTAGGTTGTCTGGTTCTGAGTGGGGCGTCGGCACCTCTCGGCTCGACGTCCCCACTCAGATTGCACGTCAGCGCTGTCCTTGCGAAGTGTCCCTGCGATGCTCGTGTAGCCGAGGCGGAAGCGATGAGAGGATCACGTTCGTTCCACAAGGGATGTTCCACAGGCGAGTCACCCCGAACATTTGTTGAAACATCATGGCCATTCATCAGCCATCTGTTTCGCACCTCGATCGCTCGTCTCGTGATTCTTTCTACAGAGGACCTGCCTTTGCCCCCCCCCGCCGAACGTGAGCACAGTGGTGCAGCAGCTGGAGCTTGCCACAGCGGGAGAGAGAGAGAGAGAGCAAACCGGCGTCCTTCAGATTGCCCGTGTGACTCAATTGCGTTCTGCGGAAGAGCGTCGCACCTCTTCAACGGTGGCACGGTGACGAGGCCGTCCGACCGACGCGACAATGACATTGTTTTTGATTGTTTGATTGCCAGCGTCGGTTTGTCCTCGCCGCCATCGCGCACCAGCACCTGTCGCTGCATCATCTCTGCCACCGCCGCTGCCGCAGCCCCGGTGGGCGACGCCCCGCGGACAGGACGGTCCGACGCTGCTCAGCTGCCCCGAGAACAGGCCGTTCAAGGACAGCGCCCCCATCCCCAAGGCCTCGGCACACCTGGCACGCGATCTGGACTTTGGCTTGCCCATGCAGCGCGACAATCCGAGGGCAACGTTGGTTTCGTGGCACTGGTCGCTCAGGAGGCTTACGCGATCCGGCCCCACCGCAGAAGAGAAAGCGCGCGGCTTCCGATGGCGTATGCGCTGCTTGGCGCGTCCCGTCATTCTGCCTGCGTGTCATTGTTCATGCTGTGTCCCTCTCTGCCTGCGCGGTTGTTGCGGGGCCTCGTGAAAGGGCAGGAGACTGGCAAGGGGCCGTTGCCCCCCAGAAGTGAGATTTGCTTAGCAGTGGGTGGCCCGAGTCGCCGAGCCGTTATCGTCAGGCGACCCAGAACAGAACATCCTGAAACGGAGATCCGACGCCATCAGACCGCAAACAATCATAATCAGTAGGTGTCCTTGCATTGTCGCAGGGGCTCCACGCTTGCAAAAGAGTGTCCGAGTAGAGGTCCTGGCGAGCCTGGCGGACAAGAGCCTCCTGCCGCTTTTCCTCGTCCTTCTGCCCCCTTTTCCCACTTGCTCCTTCCTCCTTCATCTTCACGTCTAGTGGAAAACACGTCTCGTCACGTCAACCGCAACGCACGCCTTGTGGAAATAGTCATCACGATCGCCACAACCGTGGCGATCGTCATCATATTGTATATCTGTACGTATATCTAGATCAGAGCAGGTCATGTTGGCACAATGTATATCATGCTTCTCTATTGTCCACCGGGCTGGTCTTGCAGCGCGATTGCTTCAGTTGCCGCGTGTTTCAACCTCCTCTTTTCTTCCGCTTCGCTGACATGTCGATCATCGTCTTTGCCTGCTTCTCCTCCGCCATCTCATGCTCGTCCATCCTGCTCTTTGTCGTCAGGAGTGGGAGGAAGAGGAGGAGGAGGAAAGAGAGGAGGAGGAAGAAGAGGAGGAGGAGGAGGAGGAGGAGGAGACCGAATAGCCACACCCTCCACAACGAAGGCGGCGCGACGACGACGACGACGACGACGACGACGACGACGACGACGACGGAAGCCCCCGCGGGCTCCAGGCCGGCCTGAGCCTCCCCCCACCCCCTCGGGGGTGGGGGGGGCGCGTGGGGATCGGCGTGGGGTCTGCCCCCGGGCGGCTCCGAGAAGGCTCCCCTCCCCTCCCCTCCCCTCCCCTCCCCCCCCCTTTCCCCTCCCCTCCCCTCCTTCCCCCCCCCCCCCTCCCCTCCTCTCCTCCTCCTCCTCTTCATCCCCCCCCCCCCTTCCCCGCGGACGGCCTGCGCGACCGTTTGATCCCCGACGAGTCCCCCAGACAGCCTGAGGCTTCCCAAACGGTTCAAAGTTGCCGAGCATCGGACCCACCACGGACCTGGTACGGTTTCAGATTGGCCCGAGCTTTGCTCGAAGGCACAGCCGATCCCCCCGAGCGATTTCAAGGCCCCCCGAAGGGACTCCAAGGACCCTGGGAAAAGGCCCCCCCAAAAGGACACTCGTTTCCTCGTCCCCCCCGAGTCCATCTCTCTCTCTCTCTCTCTCTCTCTTTCCCCCTCTTGTGCTATTTCTCTCTTTCTCTTTCTCTTATGGCGCGCATATTTGCAGTCCACCAAAGTTGGAGTCCACCTTGGTTGTTTCAACCTTGGCAGATCCATCTCAGCCTGCAAGCTGTTCGTTTCTGGTCATTCCCCACAGTCTCTACTGTCTGTTCTTCTCGTTCCAGGCTAAGTTGTTTCGTTCTTCTCTTCCAGGAGGTTCTCGCTGTCCCAGTCCATTTTGCGCTGCGCCGATCCGTTTTTGCCCAATCCTGGTACCCATTCCTCCCACTCGATGGACAACGGTTCGTTTCGCTCCGCCTCGCGCGCGCACCCGTGGGCGATTGAACACACAAGTGTGCGCCAGGCGAATGCAGCCCCATCGTGAGACCTCGCCGACTTTTTCCGCAGCCATTTTGGCTCAAGGCATGGCCGCGCGCACCGAAACTGCGTGTGCGCGACAGAGCGGGTTCGGGACTGCCTGAGAGCCGTGCCTGCGACGCGCACGGCTTCGGCGGGCTCTGGTGGTGTCGTTGCAGGCGTCGACCACGGAATCCGAACCCTACTCGTTGCCGATCCTCGACTCAGGCAGCTCTAGTGACGGCGGGGGTACGGTTCGGAATTCGTCGAACGCGTGGCGAAATCCGAACCCAAACCCCGCTTCCCATCGATTCAGGAGACTCGGTAATTTGTTTAGCATTGGGGCAACGGTTCCTGGGGGAAACGGATCATGGAAACCGGGGCCTGCCCCCAGGACGAGGTCTCCATCCCGAGTCGTTTCTTGCAGCTCCCTGGGCCCGAGGGCCCCGAGAGGCCGAAAAGGTCGAAAAACCTGAGGACCCGGTTCCTTCAGGACCCGTTTCCCCCTTGGCGAGTTTCGGACGCCGCCATTTGCAGTCAACCCGCGTAGTAAGGACGAGCGACTTTTCAAGCCTACCCTTGCAGTGTTCCCCTTCGGCCCATCCTTGGCCGCTTTCGCTGGCCGCGCCCCGCTCGCAAAGTGCCGACATGGCCTTCCAAGGCCCTTGTACCCTAACTCGAGCGTTGTGTAATGGGGGGCGACAAAGGCGGGGGGGGGGGGGAACAGCGAGGGCTGCAGAAAAGGGGGCCCTTCAGGGCCCCTACATGGGCCCTCTAGGGCCCAAGAGGGGGCTTACAGGGCTCGAGGAGTACACCCTTCCCCCCCCACCCATCTGTTGCCCCCCCCCATTAAGCGACGCCCAACGTACCGCGCATCCTTATCAATATATTGGTCGCCTGTAAGGTGCTCGCCGCCAGCGGCGCGCATGATCGCGAGCGGCGAGCTGTTCCTGCTCAACGGGGAGACGCTCGGCCAGCTGCGGCTGCTGCCCGCCTTCCTGAACAAGAGCATCTGCGTCCTGGCGACCGGCACGGACCGCATCTACGTGGCGTGCGAGCCCCCAGTGCCGCCGCAGGAGGTCCCGAGGCAGCCCTGTGCGGTCTGGTGTCCAGGCAGTGCCAAGATTCGGCGGCGCGCCTGGGGGGGAAGCGAGAAAGAGCAGGCCTTCTCAGAAGGCTCGGAAGTCCAACGGCCATCTGCGAAGTTCTCTAAGCCTAGACGAAGAAGATGTCTCAGATGGCCCGAGGGTTTCTAAGAAACCCCGCCGCCTTCTGAGAAGGCCTTCTCCTTCTCGCTTCCCCCTCGCTCGTCGCCGAAGGATCGGTGCGATCGAGAGGGTGCGGGGAGAACGTGTGCAGAGACCGACAGCAGCTTCTGTCCATTTTGAACAGCACTCGCTGTCGGCGTCGCCGCGGACGGTGTCCATTGAAGACAGAAGGCCGCCGGGCCAACCGCGGCCGCTGCCGGTTTGGGACAACAGTTGTTGTTGGGCATCGTGCCCACGTTTTCCGTACCGATTTCGGGTACAATAAGGACCGCTTTGGGCTCAGAAGGAGCCCGCTGTTCCTCAGCTTCTAGCCCTCCTCGTGCACGCATTCGCTTCTGGGGCCTTCATTGTCGCTCCTTATTTCAGCAGCCCGATTGTATCCAGAGCAGGTGGTCCCGAGGCAGCCCTGTGCGGAGACTGCGGTTACAGGATCGAAGCTCGAGGGACGTTTTGGACTTGGCATCGCTCGGACGTGTATTTGTCCTCGGCGAGGACCATCTAGAATCTAGGAGCATCCTAGATCATCTGGCAACACACACGCACGAAACACACGCACGAAACTACAACATGCACGGGGAATGGACGTCCGAACGATGGCAGGTGGACGTCCGGGATCTTTCTGGGAGGCTCTGGAGTACCCATGAGGGCCCACTTCCTCGAGGGCATGGCGCTTCCTCGACGAAGTGGCGACACCCCTGGTGGTGACGCCCCCCCTGGAAATGGCCCCAGGTGCTTGCGGGGGGACAGCTTGGAGCCGGAGCTGTGCCAGGACTTCGAGGCCATCGACGGGAGCCTCCGCGAGATCGCGATCGGGGACCAGCACGTCCTCGCGCTCACCCGCGAGGGCACGGTGTGGAGCAGGGGCACCGCGGTCTACGGCAACACCGGGCACGGCGGAGCCACGGACGTGGAGGAGTTCCGGCCGCTCGCCGCGCTGCAGGGGCGCAGCGTCAGGGCCATCTCGAAGCGGAGCAGACGGCACGCACGTGTTCATTTTCGGAGCTCCGCGCGGAGTTCTTCCGACCTGCGCCGGGTCCGTCCCTGGCGGCGCCGGAGGCGGCGCCAGGGGGTCCCAGCGCAGATCCAAGACATCCGCGCGCAGTTCCGAAAGTTTGGGTTTGTGCCATTTGTTCTGCTTCTGCCATCGCCGCGGGGCCCTACTATTCCATCGCCATCACGCAGGAGGGCGACGTCTTCTCGTGGGGCCGCGGGTTCAGCGGCGAGACGGGGCTGGTCGAACAAGTGGAGTCCGTCCCCCGGTTCGTGCCCACTGTGACGAAGTTCCGGGTGGCCAAGGTGAGCTGTGGCAACGCCCACGTCCTCGCTGTGACGGAGAGCCAGCAGTGCATCTCCTGGGGCGAGAACACCTGCGGGCAGCTGGGCATCGGCCGCAAGTCGAAGCCGACGCACAGGCCGCAACTTCTGGACTCCATCCCATCGCAGATCAGGGAGGTCTCCGCGGGCTGGGCCCACTCGGTCGCAGTAGGCACCGACGGGCGCGTCTACAGCTGGGGGCTCAACTCGCACGGCCAGCTCGGCCTCGGCGACGTGGCGGCGAGGCTGGCGCCGCACCTCCTGCAGGACCTCGTGGACGTGCACCAGGTGGAGTCGGCCCACGCGGCGAGAACGCTGACGGCTTTCCTGTCGACGGAGAAGCGTCCGCTGCTGTGCGGGCAGATCCCCTTCAGGGTCGGCACGAAGCACAGTGCCCGAAGTGAGAGCGGACCCAGGAGCGTGAATGGAACAACGCCCCGGCGACCTGGCAGCATGGACCCAGACCAGTGCGTGCTTGCCCCCGTGCCCCTCACCATCGCCGCACCGGACCTCAGCGGCGTCAGGTCGCAGCTGTCTCAGCTCCTGGCTTACGATCGGGGCGTGGTTGCGTTCGCGCGAAGCGCCGTGCACAAGGTGGAGCCGAACCTGGCCCCGCTCAAGGGGGGCACGCCCGTGCGCGTTCACGTCAACGGGCTTCCCTACTTTCCGCCGGCCCGCACACACGCGGTGGACTCCACGACGACCTCAGAGATGGCGGCGGACGCTATACCAGTAAGGGTGCGGCTGAAGTCAAACTCGCCCCTCTGTGACTTCATCGTGCCGGGGAAGATCGTTGCTGCAGACACTCTGGAGTTCAGGGCCAAGGTTAGGGGGGGTAGGCTCAGGGGCGAACGCATCGACCCCCAATCGCCCACAGACCGCCGGTAGGGGCCCGATAGGCACGCTCCGCTTAGGAACGCGTACATTTGCCATCGGGGGCCTATATCGCCGATCTATCGGCAATGTATTGCCGCTTCCAGGTCGATGCTTCCCCCGCCTGAGCCGGCCAACCCCTAGCGTTGCCCCCTCAGGAGTTCACGACGCCGAACGTGGTGGATTCGCCGCTGGTGGACCCAGAAGCCACGTTCGCAGTGCAGGTCCGCGTCTCCGTCGACGACGGCTTCACGTGGACCCCCGACCGCTACCCGATCCTCAGCGCCTCCGCTCCAGCGCCTCCGCCTGCGCCCCCCAGCCGAGCGCCGGCGCCCCGCAGGCGGAAGCCGGCCGACGGCGCGAAGCCGACCGACAGCGCCCTGCAGCTGGGCCTCCAGGGCCTGATGGGCGACTCCAAGCCGGTGCAGGCGGACGCGCCGCTGCTTTGGTGCTCGAGGAGGGGCGAGAGGCATAAGCAGGAGCATGCGGAGGCCGCGCGGAGTTCTCGGATCCGAGTCGGGCCCGGTGCAGGAGCGGCATAAGCATGAGCTGTCGCAGGTCCGCGCGGACCTTCAAGAGTTCATGTGTGTGCCACTTTTTGTTCCTCGAGGTACAGCTGGCGGCCGAAGGACGGCCCGACGCACGTGGAGCCGCGGTGCGTACCCGTGGCGGGGGGCTCGGAGCTGCTGCTTCACGTGGATCTCCCTCCGCAGCTGTCGGCCGAGCAGCTCGCCGTGAAGTTTGTGTGCACGCCGCGGCAGTCGGTCGGCGGGCCCGCGGGCAGGGCACCCTCGCGGCCACCGTTGGCGGAGACGGTGGCCGAGAAAGAACAGAAACTGCACAAACATAAACTCTGGGAGGTCCGCGCGGAGGCCTTAGAGCGGCGCTGGGCACCCATGGCAACGCCTCTGGCGCCAAGGACGGGGATCCAGCGCCGATCCGAGGCACCTGCACGGAGCTCCGTGGGCAGTTTCTGCTCTCCCTCTTCCAGGTGGGCCCCGACCACGACGCGGTGGCCGAGCTCCCCCCAGCCATGCCCCTGGAGGTCCAGGTGGCCGCCTGGCTGGACGCCGGAGGCCACGGGGTCCGGGTCGTCTCGCCGCCGCTGGACGCCGAGAGCATCGGGCTCTACGACTTCTCGGTCGAGCTGTCCCTCGACGGCCGGACCTATCTCCCGCGTGCCCTGCCACTGAGCGTCTACGACCTCCGCGTGACCGCGCTGGAGCCCAACACGGGCTCGCTGCTGGAGCAGACGCAGGTGAAGGCTCCGAGGCGGGGCTTTCTTTCTAGCCGCCGCCTGGGGCAGCGAGCCGTCGGACGGCGGGCGGCGGAGAGTTATCCATTCGGGCCCCAGGGGGGGGGGGGGGGCGCAAGCTTCTGCCCACCGCCTGCCGAGGTCCCCGAAGCCCGATCCCCCAGGCGGTGGTCGTGGATGAAGCCCCGCCCCGGCGGAAGGTGCGGGGCGCGGGCCTCGTGCCGTCCGACGTCCACCGGGTGCGGCTGGACTTCCCCCAAGAGCTCGGCTGGAAGCGGAGGCAGCTGCCCGCAAGCCTCGACCTCACCACCGGGGAGGTGTCGTTCACGATGCCGGACCTCGCGGCCGAGGTGCGGGAGCGCGCCGACGCGGCGCTCGGGGCGGGCAGGGTGGAGCCGCAGGCGCCCGCGGGGCCAGCGTTGGGCCTCGGCATCGCTCGGACGTGTGCATTTTTTTTCCGGCGAGGACCATCGAGGAGCATCCTTGATCCTTCGGCGAAAAAACCACGCAGGAAACTGGAAAAAACACACAGGGAATGGACGTCCAAGCGGTGGCGAGAAAGCGGGCATTCTACCTCCCCCCCCTCACTTCTCGCCCACCACGAACTCGCGCCCAACTGCCGGGCCCAGCGGCGCGGAGGATGCCGCGGCGCCCGCGCCGGACCCCACCGGCGGCCTGCTGGGCGTGCAGGTCTCCGTGGAGCTCTCGCTGAACGGGCAGAACTTCACGCGGGACGGCGTGCCCTTCACCTTCCACGGGCCGCTGCGGCCCGCCGCGGTGTGCCTGCTGGCCCTGCCCGAGGGCTACGTGGCGGAGGAGCCGCCCGACCCGAAGGCCAAGGGCAAGAAGGCCGCCCCGGAGGAGGCGGAGCCGAGGCCGCTCCCGCCCGCCGCGAAGCTCGGCGCTGCGGGAGGAGGAAACTTTGAGTGGGAGGTCGGCTGCGGACTTGGCTCGCCCCCCCAAGGCTTACGACTTTCGCCGGAGCCACGAAACAGCAGTCGAGCGTCTGCAGATCTACGAACGCTCTACGTATTACGTATTCTGTTGCTGTTTCCATGGAGGTTGCAATTCTGGGGTAACCCGATTCTGTAGTCGACTCCCCAGTCGAAGACTGGATCCATACCGCCACCCGTCCCTCGTTTGGGCCGTTCTGGGGCTCCCGCCAGGCCCTCGTCGCCACGGCTGGATCCGCCCCGAAATCCGGGCCAGAACGCACCCCGTGGAGAGGTCCAGGGAGTAGCAGTACACCTTAGGCGATGCTTAAGAAAACCTAAGTTTTCGGCCAGAGGCTCGATTATTCTTAATGTTCCAATGTCAATCCCAAGATTTTGATAGAAGTTCTGGGTTTTATTCCATTTCTGAGACTATGAATTTCTTAACCCATGATTTCTTAAGCATTTCGCAGGGTGTACTAGCACCGTTTGGTTTCGCCAGGCTGCGCCGTGGAGGGCCTGTGCCCGGCTGGGGACGCGGCCGCGCCCTCCTTCGCGGTGCTGAGGGCCGACCTGCTAGTGAGGGCGGCGGCGCCCGCGGAGCAGGGCAAGAAGGCCAAGGGCAAGGCCGCGGAGCCCGAGGACGAGGATCGGGGGAGCGTAAGACCCAGACCCCCTCGAGTAATGAAAAAATCACGACGGGAGGTTTTTCGCCGTTTTCGGCCTCTGGGGGCCCTCACCGGGCCTCGGGCGCGTCAAAAAACGACTCAGGATGACAAACCGGTCCTGGGGAAGGGGTCGGGACCTCTGGGGATCGACGTAATGAAAAAATCATTACGTCGGGGGTCTGGGGACCCGGGTTTGCCAGGACTCGGGTTCGCCATCGTTTTTTGGCGACCGCGCCTCGGATTTTGGCGAGGAGGAGCTTCGGGGGATGTCTGCAGCGGGAGGCCTCGTCAAGATGCAGGCTCGGCCTCGTCATTTTTGTTGACGACCTCGTCGGTGATTGCCGAGTCCCCTGTACCCAGGTCTTACGTCCCCCTGGGAGGAGGAGCCGGTGCTCCTGCGGGTGGTGGATCTTCCCGCCCTGGTGGAGACCATCACGCCCAAGGCGCCCAAGGGCGGAAAAAAAACAAAAAACAAAAAAAACTAAAAGAACAAACAACAAAAAAAAAAACGCCCAAGGCGCCCTCGCCGCCGCCGCCCGACCCCAAGGACAAGAACCCGCAGGCCCCGCCGGAGCCGGAGCCTCTCACGCCCGTGGAGATGATCACGGCCCTCACGCCAGCGATACGCTCGGAGGAGCTGCCTGCTGCTGGCTGCACGCTGCTCCTGGCCAACTTCCAGGTGTCAGGAGGGAGCAAGAATACACAGACACAATGGAGCGTCGACTCCTTAGAAAAATATGAGGAAATATGGGAAGTGTGGGGGGGAAGACAACGACCCAGAAAATATTGGGAAATATTGGGGATCCTGTTATTTGTGTTTATTTATTTGTGTGCACCAGGGCCCCTTCACAGGTTTCTCTCAACGGCCAGGCTTTCGTGCCGTGCCCAGTTGGAGATGGCGCCTCTGGGATGCGGTTGGAGCCGCTTCCGCCGGAGCAGTAAGCTGGACGATCGGCAGGTTGCGTTTCGGATCTCTTGTCCCTCTCCTCTCCCTATGACCATGTCCTGCTTCAGTTGCCTCCCTCAGCACTCCGTCGCCGTTGTGCTGCCCCCCCTGACTGTTTCTAGCCTGCTCGCGCGAGGCAAAGCCTCCACAACTGTGCAGTAGCAGCAGAGAGCTTGTCGATGTCTAAATCTCGAGTCTCGGGAAAGGGCGGGGGAAGAAGATGGTGGAGAGGTGGAGACATGGGGGATTGGACGGAGCGAGAGTGGGAGACGGGTGCAAAAAGAAAAAAAAAAAAAAAAAAGTGAGTGCACTGTGGCTCAAGCCTTTTTTGTTGGTGGGGGAGGTTTGCCTCGCGCCGCTTCGACCACGACCCGTCATCGAGGGCCCTCGGCGCCGCCCTGGAGCGTTTTCCGCGACTGGCCTCGGCGCGATGCAAGGCCTTGGCATCGCTCGGACGTGTGCATTTTTCTCGGCGAGAACCATCGAGGACAATCCTCGACCATCTGGCGCAAAAACCACGCACGAAACCGAACAATGCACGGGGAATGGACGTCCGAGCGGTGGCCAGGGGCGGCGTGCTGCTTCTCCTGGCCGCTGCCGCGGCGTCAGCTGAGCCTGGCGCGGCCCCACTCGATCTCTACATGTACGCACAGTGGTGGAGATAGGATTGTCTATGTTCACAGAGAGTCGATGAAGGAGGGAGGGAGAGAGAGAGAGAGAGAGAGAGCGATAGAAAGAGAGAGAGAGAGAGTGCGCGAGAGAGGGAGTAAGAGGAAAGGGAACGAACGAGAGAGAGAGAGAGAGAGAGCAGCGCTCGATGGTCAGGCTTCCGAGCGTACAGTCGTCGTGGCGGGGGCTAGCCGCGCGAGGCGGCTGCTGACACCAGCCCGAACGTATCGCTCTGGCGTGGGTTTCACACCTCTCGTCTGCGCCAGCGGTGCCCAGAGAGAGAGAGAGAGAGATCGGACAAGCAGACGGGAGTCCCGTCGACAGCCCGCGACTGCGGTAGCCAAGGCCGCCATTGCACGCTTAGCGGTGGTGCCCACCTCGCGGGTACGGGAGACGTTGAAACAACCAACCCACGGCGCAGAGAGAGAGAGAGAGAACAAAAAAAAAAAGTTCCGCGGGTGGGTGAGGGTCGGTGGGAGGTTTTTTTTGCGGGGCACGGCCTGACCAGAGGAGCTGCAGCGCTTCGGGCAGCCCTTCTGGGGGCACTTCCGCCGGAAGCGGCTGCTCCTCCCGGAGGACCGGCGCTGCCGCCGCGGCCCTCCCCGTCGCGTCGGCGCTCGTCGTCGCTCCCGGAGAAGACTTGGCATCGCTCGGACGTGTGCATGTTTTTTTTTTCCGGCGAGGACCATCGAGGAGCATCCTCGATCATTTGGCGAAAAAGCCACGCAGGAAACTGGAAAAAACACACAGGGAATGGACGTCCCAGCGATGGCGAGAAAGCGGGCATTGTACCTCCCCTCCTCACTTCTCGCCCACCACGAACTCGCGCCCAACTGCCGGCGAAAACGCCACGCACGAAACCGAAAGAAGCACAGGAAAGGGACGTCCGAGCGATGGCCAGAGGAAGACGAAGAAGGGGGAGGACAAAGAGGAGGAGGAGGGGGAGGACAAAGAGGAGGAGGAGGGGAGAGGAAGGAGGAGGAGGGATGAGGAGGGGAGGGAGGAGGAGGGAGGAGAGGGAGGAGGAGGAGGAGGAGAGGAGGAGGAGGGGGGAGGAGGAGGAGGGGTGGGAGAGGAGGAGTGGGAGGAGGAGGAGGAGGAGGAGAGAGAGGAGGAGGAGGAGGAAGGCACGAGCACGAGCTTTTCGGGGACGTCCGCGCGGATCTCCGGGGTCGGCGCTCCGCCGCCGGGCCACCCCCCCTTGGCGCCGCCTCGCGCGCGGCGCGCGCGCCGGGGCTCCAGCGCCGACCTACTAGATCGGCGCTGGACCCCCCTTCCTCCTCCTCCTCCTCCTCCTCCTCCTCCTCCTCCTCCTCCTCCTCCTCCTCCTCCGCCTCCTCGCGATCCGTCTGGCCCCTATGGGCCGCCAGGCATAGCAGAAAACCGAAACCCCGACACAAACTGAATCCATAGTTTCTCTGATTAGGAAGTCCGCGCGGCATTCGTCGTCGGCTGTCATTTCGTCGTTGTCGGTTGTCGTCAGTCGTCGTTTTTTGACGTCGTCGGTCGTCGTTCGTCGAATTCCGTTGTCGTCGTCGTCGTCGTTGTCGTCGTCGTTGTCGTCGTCGTCGTTCGTCGTCGTCAATCGTTGTCGTTCGTCGTCGTCGTCGTTGTCGTCGTCGTCGTCTGTTCGTCGTCGTCGTCGTTCGTCGTCATCGCTCGTCGTCGTCGGTCTGCGACGTTCACCGCTCGGGCGTCGCTTAACAAGCTGTGCCTCCCTCCCCACCGGCGTCTGCCTTGGCCCCCATCCACCTCGTCAGTCGTCGCTCCCTGTCTTTCTTCCCCTCTGACCCCACCCATCCGTGGAGCCTCCGAGACGCCCCTGGAGCCTTTCGAGGCGCCCTTACGGCAGTCCTCCTGCCCCTCTGCACTGTGTCCTTGTCCGCCTTCCGCGCCATCCTGTTCGAGCGTTGTGCGCTGAACCGTGTTCTCTGGGGGAGGGTGGAGGACCATATTGACTGCCAGAGTCAGTCGAGGTGGGGCAGGCGGAGAAGGGAGAGAAGGGGAGAAGATGCGAGCTCACAGCTGGGATGACCAGGAGAGGGAGGCCAAGGCGTTGCTCATGGCCTGTGCCCGCGGTGTCTCGGTGGCCCGCCTCGAGCGGGGGCAGCGGCCCCCAACGATTACACCCCTCCCGGGCAGCACACACCGCACTTGCTCCTGCTTTTCTACAGCCGTCTCACGAGTGAGAACACTTCTTGCATGGCCCACTCGTCTCGCCATGGAGTCAAGAGGACCTCAGCTGAAGTGGTCCTGGGATATCTCTCGGTCGAGGTCACGTGGCCCTCTCCCTGCCCACGGACCGTCAAGATACACCCTGGAATGAAGAGCTGGTTGCGGATAGCTCCACACGGTCCATGATCCGCTTCCGTCAGGACACATGTCCTTCATGCTATCCCCTCCTTTTGTTTGTTCCCATGTCTGAGGTGTAGAAGTACAGTTGTTGTTGTTGTTGGTGGTGGTGGTGTTGGTGGTGTCGTTGTTGTCGTTGTTGTTGTTGGTTGTGGTGTGGTTCGTGCTTCAGCGTGGTGACTCCGCATGTATCCCTCCTTTTGTTCTTCTTGTCCGCCTTCCTTCCTTCCTTTACATTCAGACTCGCCCATGCTCAGTCTCGTTCGCACGCATACCCTCTCATTAGGGTCACTCGTACCCGCACATACTCACATCTGGACTCACTCCTTCCCATACTCTGTTTCAGTGATAGTCAGACTCGTTCATACTCAGGCTCACTCGTGCAGTTTCGTTCATACCCGGACTCAGCCCCACTCAAATCATTCATGCTCAGATTCAGTGACACGCAGACCAATGCATAAGTACCCGGACCCATTCATATTCAGACGTACTCGTATTCAGTTCCACTGATATTCAGACTACCGCACGCACAGACTCACTCACACTCAGACTCGATCACACTCAGCTCACTTAGAAGCAAACTAATCCACCTCGCATTCGCTCACACGCAGACCCACTGACACTCAGGCACTCTCACATCCCAACTCACTCAGACTCAGTCGCCCGCTCACTCAGACTCACGCGCACACCGACGGCCTCGCTCATACTCCTGATCACTGCGATGCTGCAGGCATCGCGCACGGGCCTATGAAGTTGGGATCCACCAGGGGGTCGCGACGTAGCATGCCTGGTAATGTGGGCTCTCCCGCTCGAGAGCCAGGATAGCAGCTGTCCCACACCAGCCTTTTGCTTACAGGCCCATGCTGCAGGTGATGGCAAGGGTCCTCTCGCCGTCATCGAGGAGCTTGCGCCAACGTAGAGGTTTCTGGAGGCTCCTAAGTCCTGGCCTCAACATCTACCAGACGTGGGGCTGCAGAAGTCATTTGGGAGTCTTGGTTCGCCAGGTTACCCCCCACGGCGCACGCACACGCCGCCGCCATCGTGCGCTGGAGAGACGAGGGTCTGCTTCGCCTGGTCGAGCGCAGACGCCATCCTTTTGCGAGCAAGAAAGCGCAGCGGCGGCAGGGTGCACGTGAGCCACAGCTCGCGGCGGGCCCTCCTCGGCGCTCCGAGGGCCTCCCGACGACGCGACGCCGAGCTCGGGACTCCGCGGGACCTCCTCCTCCTCCTCCTCCTCCTCCTCCTCCTCCTCCTCCCCCTCCCTCCTCCCTCCCCCCCTCCTCCTCCCCCTCCTCCTCCCCCTCCCCCTCCTCCTCCTCCTCCTCCTCTCCTCCTCCTCTGCCCAGTGGTGCGGGATAGTGAAACCATTGGTCTGTGTTGTTGGGAGTCGAAGGGGCTGCGGTGGAGGAGGAGAGGAGGAGGAGGAGGAGAGGGGAGGGGGAGGAGGGAGGAGGAGGAGGAGGGAGGAGGTAGGAGGAGGAGGAGGAGGAGGAGGAGGAGGAGGCGGAGGAGGAGGAGGAGGAGGAGGGGAGGATGGGCCAGGATGGGGATGACTGCGTTGGGAGATTGTCCTTGGCATGTACTCTGAGAGAGCGCGCGGGCGCCGCGCCCTTTCTCTCTTGGGCCCCGCGGGCCCTGCCGAAGTGTAAAAGGTTCGGTGGGAAGCGGATGTCACGGGCCTCTCTGCGCACAGGCCGGTGGACTGCTCAGGTAGATTGACCGCTGGGCGGGTGTAGAACTGTTCTCCCCAGACCCCCTCGAGTAATGAAAAAATCACGACGGGAGGTTTTTCGCCATTTTCGGCCTCTGGGGGCCCTCACCGGGCCTCGGGCGCGTCAAAAAACGACTCAGGATGACAAACCGGTCCTGGGGAAGGGGTCCAGACCTTTGGGGGTCGACGTCATGAAAAAATCTTGACGTCGGGGGTCTGGGACCGCTGGGCGGGTGTACAACTGTTCTTTCCTGCCCCAGCAAGATCGCGATGCACCAGGCACGACACCTGGGCCTCCCAAAGGGAGGACCACGTGGTGGGACCTCTCTCGTCGACTGAGATTTGCGTTGCTTGGTTGTTGTGCGGGGTAGGCTCGTCTCCAAGCAGGAAGTCGGTGCACCTGCGATGGAGAAGGCTGTGCACTCGGGCTTCCCTGAAAGGGAACCACCGGGGCGCAAGCGACATACCAGT